CTCTTTTTAAAAATAATATATTATAACATGGTATCGCAAAGATTCAGGTTATCCAATAAATGGTAATTAGAGTCAGGTTTAGGACTATAGTTTAATGCTTGGTTAGTAATATGCATCAAGTTGGGAAAGACATAGAAATGGAAATACATAGAATTTAATGTGTTCATTCGCAAACGCTACTATTTAAATTTTTTTAGGCCTGCTATTTATTGCTGAATAATAAAATCACTATACTTATCCACTATATTATGTTTAAATAAAGTGAGTTTAGATCAATCGAGTAAATAAATTTAATAGCAAGACATAACTAAAATTTACAATGAATATATATATATATATATATATATATATATATATATATATATATATATATATATATATATATATATATATATATATATATATATATATATATATATATATATATATATATATATATATATATATATATATATATATATATATATATATATATATATATATATATATATATATATATATATATATATATATATATATATATTTTGCTATTTTATAAAAGTATGTAAATCACAGAACAAACATTACTTTGTCTACAACTTAACAAAAATGCTACTACTTTGATGGATTGCACTAAATAGGGGTAAGCTTTAATTTAATAATTTGTGAGATATTCTTGCTAGTCTGTGTAAATTGCTTTTCAGGACTATGAGTGTGTGTTTGGCCATCCAGATTTCATAACTACAACTGATGTTCAATTACAAGGGATATTAATCAGTCTCCGTGGACTATACGCTGTGCCTAGTTTCATCCTCAGGTAACTGTACTATAGGCATAACCCATTTTTAAAGTAATTATTATAGCAAGAGATAGCATTATATGTTATAATAAATATAATGGATTTTAATCCAAAATATTTTATTAATTATTGTCTTTTCTTAAATTCTAATAGAGGGTATTATATTTGAATGATAATTGAAACACATATTGTTATAGAGCTCAAAACTATGTACTTATCTAATGTAATTAATATACTGAAACAGTTTTATTGAAGCATATTATTTCATATTTTACCACACAACTGATGTGTAAGGTTAAAGTAAAGACATCAAATCAAAGTATCAGCCATCGATTGAATTTTCGAGAATATATTTTCAACACTATTCTTCGATTAAAAACAAAATTAAGATAATTATAATGTCATAGGTTGGCGTTAACAAAAAATTTTTTTTAATTAAAAACTTAACCACGAAAGTTTAGTGAATAGTATGCAATTTAACTTATGCTATTAAAATAGTTATCAAGAGTAGTTCATATTAAAAGTCAATAGAAAATCTTATTTTAGTGCTTATTAATTTCCATACTAATTTCGGCTGGTCTAAGGCATCTATTCATGAAGGTCTGTATCTTTGCTGTGCTTGCCTTGGAGAAGAATCCATGTCTCTGCTCCATACAGCACAACTGCCTTGACATTAGAGTTAAATATCCTAATTTTTGTGGTAATGGAGATGGCCGAACTTTTCCATATGGGTCGCAGGACTGTGAAAGCGCAGCGGGCTCTATTAACTCTAGCGCGTATGTCCTCCTCTGTGCCTCCCGTTTTGCTGATCTTGCTGCCAAGGTAGACAAACTCTTGCACATCATTTACCTGTCTTCCGTCTATTGACACTGGAGCCTCCTGTTTATTGTTAATTCTCATCATTTCCGTCTTTTCTTTGTTGATCTTCAGACCTACGCGCTGCGAGATGGCTCCTAATGCATCAACTTTTTCTTGCATGTCCTGTAGCCTGTGCGAGAGTAAGGCAAGATCATCTGCAAACTCCAGATCTTCTAGTTTCCCCGTGAGTGTCCACTGAATACCTTTTCCAGAACTGGCATAGGCTGTGCGTGTCACCCAGTCGAGAACCACCAAGAAGAGGACGGGCGACAGCAGACATCCTTGTCTCACACCTGTGTTGACCTGGAACTCTTTAGACAGTTTCCCTGCATGGCTAACTTGGCATGAAAATCCATTGTAAAGTTGCTGGATTATTTCCACTAACTTAGCAGGTACACCATAGTGTCTCAACAGATTCCATATTGTTTGCCTATCCACACTATCAAAGGCCTTCTCAAAGTCAACAAAGCAGATGTAAAGCGGGGCTTGCCATTCTATCGTCTGTTCTACAATAATTCTAAGAGTGGCTATCTGATCGGTACAAGATCTTTCCTTCCTGAATCCTGCTTGTTCCTCTCTTAGCTTAAGGTCAACCGCCTCTTTCATTCTGTCCAAAATAACTCTGGTAAGGACTTTACTTGGTATGGACAACAAGGTAATGCACCTCCATTTTCCACACTGAGATAAGTCACCGTTCTTAGGCAACTTCACAAGGAGGCCCCTTTTCCAATCGGTTGGGATCTGTCCTGTGTTCCAGACTAAGTTAAGTAATTTATGAAGTCGATTTACTACTTCTTCCCCACCTTGTTTTAATGCCTCTGCTGGGATATTATCTGGTCCTGCTGCCTTGCCACTCTTCAAACTATTTAAGGCGTTGAAAATTTCCTGTCTGGCGATTTCCTCGGTATTGATGTTAAGGGGTTCCCCTGGCTCCAGGTCTGGTGGATCTTGAGGTGCTGGACCGTTTAGTATTTCCTGGAAGTGCTCTCTCCATCGTGCCAATTGTTCCTCAATTGACGTTAGAAGTTTACCATTTTTTCTCCTCACTGGCCTGTTGGGATTGGTTTTCCTCCCACTCAGAGCTCTGGTTGTTGCATAGAGCGTCTTGAGATCTCCCTTACTGGCAGCTGTTTTCGCCTGCTCTGCCATTTCATTTATAAACAATCTCTTGTCATTTCTTAGTTTCCTTTTCACCTCTTTAGCCTTTTCGTTATATCGAGCGGCTGCTGCTTGTTTTTGCTGCCGTGTTTTTGCTTGATTTAGTTCGCTCTTTAGGCTTTTTCTTTCTTCCACCTTCTGCCATGTATCATCTGTGATCCAGGGCTTCCTGTTTGACGCTCTGCCTCCTAGAGCCTCTTCGCAGGCTTCAATAGTGGCTTGCTTAAATATTTCCCAGATGTGTTCAACTGAATCAAAATCTTTCTCTTCTGTCTGTAGAGCTTCAAACCGATTCTTTAGGGTGACCTGAAAATTTGTCCTGTTGTCTTGCGTCTTAAGTTTACTTACATCAAATCTTCGTGGATCAATTTCATGTTGCCTCTTCTTTGCCTTTAGCTTCATCTTCAGTTTAGCAACAACCAGGTGGTGGTCGGATCCTATGTCTGCTCCTCGCTTTGCTCTCACATCTTGCAGTGAGGCCCTCCAACGACGCCTTACCGCGACATGATCAATCTGATTTTCGGTATGATGATCTGGTGATATCCAGGTGGTTTTATGACACCTTCGGTGGGTGAAAAGTGTACCGCCGATAGTAAGCTCATTTGAGGCACAAAAGTCTGCGAAGAGTTCACCATTTTCATTCATTTCCCCTAGGCCATTGGTTCCCATCTCCATTTCCCTGCCTCTGTTGTCTTTGCCTACTTTGGCATTTAAATCACCCATGAGGATCAGCATGTCGCGCTTGGGTACCTTATCAACCACCGACTGAAGCTCTTCGTAGAAACGGTCTTTTTCTTCCGCGTCTGCGTTGTTCGTAGGAGCGTAGCTTTAATTATTCGATCAGATACAGGTTCCCATTCCATCAGGCTTTTTGTTGCCTCCTTTGTCAATAGCAAGGCTACGCCTGCCTCTCGTGGGTCGTCCTCATTTTTTTTTCCCGAGTATAACAGTGTTTCTCCCGTCTGGAATTTTGTCTCTCCAAAGGTGTTCCATCTTGTTTCGCACAGGCCAAGCACTGTAAGATGATACTGTTGCATTTCTTTCACTGCCTGTGCACACTTCCTTGCTTCCCATAGTGTTCTGACGTTCCATGTTCCTATTAGGATAGGTTTCTATTGCGACAGTAGTTTTGGGGCTGTGGATTTAGTTTTCCTCGGTTGAAGAAGGGGGGTCGGCTCTGTAGCTTCCTTACGGATTTGGCTGCATTGCGTCATACTTCTCCTAAGTGGAGCCCTGATTCTCGCGAGGACTGGATTTGTTTCGGATTTGGCTTCGGTTTCTGTAACTGTCTTTTGTTTTATGTGGACGAGTAGTTAGCCCATCGCACAACCCCCAACCTGGAGGACCAGGGCACATCGTTTGGTCTGGCCCCTACCCACGCAGATCTGTCCGACTTGGTTAGACCTGCCAGGAGCACTAGGCTCCCGCCGGCATAGCTCTGGGGGTCGGCGGGGCACACATCCATCAGGATGGATATATATATATATATATATATATATATATATATATATATATATATATATATATATATATATATATATATATATATATATATATATATATATATATATATATATATATATATATATATATATATATATATATATATATATATATAATATATACATATATATACATATATATATATATATATATATATATATATACATATATATGTGTGTGTGTGTGTGTGTGTGTGTGTGTGTGTGTGTGTGTGTGTGTGTGTGTGTGTGTGTGTGTGTGTGTGTGTGTGTGTGTGTGTGTGTGTGTGTGTGTGTGTGTGTGTGTGTGTGTGTGTGTGTGTGTGTGTGTGTGTGTGTGTGTGTGTGTGTGTGTGTGTGTGTGTGTGTGTGTGTGTGTGTGTGTGTGTGTGTGTGTGTGTGTGTGTGTGTGTGTGTGTGTGTGTGTGTGTGTGTGTGTGTGTGTGTGTGTGTGTGTGTGTGTGTGTGTGTGTGTGTGTGTGTGTGTGTGTGTGTGTAATTTGATTGCTATTTTATAAAAGTATGTAAATCACAGAACAAACATTACTTTGTAGTGTCTACAACTTAACAAAATGCTACTACTTTGATGGATAGCACTAAATAGGGGTTAGCTTTAATTTAATAATCTGTGAGATATTCTTGCTAATCTATGTGTAAATTGCTTTTCAGGACTATGAGCGTGTGCTTGGCCATCTAGATTTCATAACTACAACTGATGTTCAATTACTGTGCCTAGTTTGATCCTCAGGTAACTGTACTATAGGCATAACCCATTTTTTAAAGTAATTATTATAGCAAGATAGCACTATGTTATAATAAATATAATGGATTTTAATCCAAAATATTGTATTAATTATTGTCTTTTCTTAAATTCTAATAAATCAGTGAGCTGTACAACATAGAGCAGGGGTTCCCAACCCCATGCCCGCGGGCGCCATGGCGCCCGCCTTACGATTCGTATGTGCCCGCCTCTAATTATTCGACAGAGACAGAATTTTTTTCATAAACATTATTGAAAGGTTGAAGGGGATGGAAATCAAAAGTTTGAGGGGGGGTGCAAATCGAAAATTTCAGATAGGGGGTGCAAATCGAAAGTTTTGTCCCCGGGTGACGGGAAGGGGTCGCTACGCCTCTTGAAGGAGTTTGTCGATTTAAAATAGGTGGTGCCCGCCACCCTACCGATATTTTAGAATGTGCTCTAGAGTAAAAAAAAAACGTTGGGAACCCCTGACATAGAAGGTATTATATTTGAATGATAATTGAAACACATATTGTTATAGAGCTCAAAACTATGTACTTATCTAATGTAATTAATATATTGAAACAGTTTTATTGAAGCATATTATTTCATATTTTACAACACAGAGACTGATGTGTAAGCTTAAAGTAAAGACATCAAATCAAAGTATCAGCCATCAAGAGGGTAAATATTGATAGTCTACAAAAGTCTACTTCATTAATCTTCAATATGAATGAACACAATTTTAAATCTATAATCTTTGTTGATAATGTTTTTTTTCTTGTTATTCATCATGTTCAGTGCTTTATCTTTTCAAAGTAATTAGTTATAATAAAGAAATATTAGAGGTGGTAATATAAATTTGTAACGTATATCTCTTGCTAGTTCCACAAAAGAAACTCAAAATATTTTGCCTTTATTTCATTTACAGAAGAACATTAAAAATCATATTGTGATACACAAATCAAGTAGATCTATGACCAGCATTATGATACAGGCCAAGAAAAAGCTGGATATTTGATTGGAAGGGTGGCACAAAAAAGATGGGTTATCACTAGGGAAACAGCAAGCCAAATACTTCTAAACTTATTTGAATCATTTTTGCTGTTTATTATAATTCATCCAATTGTCTTATTAACTATATAAATTTATATATATACACAATTCCTAATATAGAATTTCTAAAAATGTTTTATTATAATATTTAAAAATGAAACAAGAATTTTCATTTTAATCTGCAAAAGCTACATTCTGTACATTATTATTTTCAAACTACATCATATATTTTTCTCTTCTCTGATAAAAAAATATTCCTCAAATTGTTTGTGTCAAGTATTTTATTTTTATCAATGCAATTTTATAATAATTACTTTTATACAAATTCTTTTGAAAACTGTTCTTTATTGATTTGTATCACTTTCTTTATTTCTGAAAAAAAAACTGTTTGGGAATCCTTTTTTTGTTTCTTTACAAATTAATAAACATAAATACCTACCAGGCTTAATATCCAGCAACATTAAACAATTAAGTCGGGCCCATTGTAAGTAATGGTAAATTTTATACTAATTAATGTGATTTCTCCTGGCCACCTTGTTTCTGAATACCTTCAACTGTGTCAATGTTGCTACCAACCCCAATAATTAAAACTGAAGCCATTTATTATGAAGTAAAACTTTGGTGTAATCCAAATCCACCCAGTTGCCGGAGGGCAAGGTACCAAACATGATGTCCAGTAGAGGGTTAAAAAGTATCATTATTAAATCACTATTAAACCCCTCCTCGCCTACGCCACTGCTTGTATGCATATGGACGTTATCGGAATTTACTGTATTGCTTATAAGTCGAAAATGCGAAAAAGACACGTTTAACATTACTAGTTTGAAGAATAACATTCATGTTAGCCGAAACAGGTTTATTCTAAAGTTGTTTAAATTTATTTTATTGTTCATTACGATTATGTTGTCGTAAAATATAGGCCTATTTAAAAAAAAGCGTAACTAAAAAGTGTTTTAACGCATTTTCTTCTTACAAAAGCCTCACATGCATGATATCATTAACATTACGGCAAATCAAACCATTCAATTATTACGATGGGCAACAAATAAAACGCCCGCATCAAGGTACAGTTCTTATGCTATCGACATTAGCTTTAACCCCGACAACTAACGTGCCCCTAAACCAAGAATTGAAATCTTGACCCATTATTCTGATTAATTAGTGGTTAAACATCTTTAGGCATCTGAAAACGTTAGTTTTTAATCTAGTGTACTCAAAAAGGAACAACATAAAGCTTTATGCCGCCTTAAAAACCCAATCCCATGTTACGCAAGGCGTCGATAGAGAAAGAAGGCTTTGAGTCAGAACAGGCAAGGGCTTAGATAACTGCCAAAATACCTAATCTGTAGACCTCACAAGTCTAGACGATATATTAGTGCCTCTGTTTTTAGACTTTCAGAACAAATACATGTGATGTGGTCAGTAGGCACATAAAAGAGAAAAGTAGTTTTAATCTAGAGACTTCAAACATTTCTGAAGGACCGAATTTGAACTTGTAGGCTGTGGTGTCGATGCCAAAGTTTAGCGTCGTCCGCAAAGATAAGCTATCGTTATATCATCTCTATGCCCATATTGGGACAGATATTTACAAATGTGTAATATAGGACAGAATACATAGCTACTCAACAGAGATAAGCGCAATCACTTGTCCACGACTTAAGAAACCACTGTAATGCAAAACCCTCCTAAATGGAAAATGTCTTAGATCTGTGTGTTTAATACAAATGTGTACCTCGTCGCGAGTTAGGACCTGTAGGTAGTCTGTTACTACTCTATATCTAAAAACAATAAAAAGATAACGTGAATTTTTCTTGTTCAATTTCTTGGTTAACTGTATTTGTTGCATCTTGTTCAATTTTGTTAATATTGATTAACCTAAAGGGTTCAAATGTAACAAAGGAAAATTGTGACTAAGTTTCCGGGTGCGGGTATGCGGACACTAGTTAAAGTATATATCTATTTATATTTATAGAAATGAAAGTATGTTTATCTGTTTGTCCTATATGAATTACTACATCTTTTTTTTACACCTTTTTCATCGGTTCGCCATAAAACTTTGTGAACAGAAGAGGGGGGGGGAAGCAGAGCCCCCCCCCCCCACCCCCAAAAGAAAAGTCTATCGACCACACCCCCCCCACCCCCGAACGAAACGGAATTTATAGAGAGAAAAAATATATAGTTTTAACAGTGTCCGCACGCCCCCCCCCCGGAAAGATTTCGCCAGGGCGGCGCCCTAGCAGGAAGCGGAGGCGTAGCAACCTATTCCGGCGCCCGGGGCGAACTATCAATGTTGTGCCAACCCTATTCAAACGCTGGCAAAAAGGCGCCCATCCCTACATACAGTCCCCTATATAAAATAATTGAGGATATCAGTCATGTATAAATATGTTTTCTTAAATTTTACTGAAGAATGAGGATTTTAAAAAAAAAATTGTCTACCCCTTTTGGCGCCCCATTCGATCTGGGGTCTCTGACAGGAAGCAATGCAATTTTTCTCCATAAAAATAAAAGCCAGATGCAATTTGACACTGTTCGTACGAGAGTCATAAAATTTTGGGGAGTTGGTGAAAAGGGTTTCGAGAAAGAAAAAAATTCTTAAGTTTGGCACCCTGGGAGGGTTCGATTTTTCTCATTATACGATTATGAGCCCAGAATCCAGAGGGGAATCCAGAGGGGCTATCTCATCGATTGCGGTCATAGGTAATTCTAGATTCAGCAGAGGCGTAGCGTGGGGGGCGGGGGGTACATATGTCCCCGGGCGCCAACCCTAGGGGGAGCCAAAATGGGTGGGAAAAATTTAAAAGCTCATTTTAGCTACAGTTTTCCATTATAAATATTTAAAAAATACGGGGGGGAAGCCAAATTGAAAGTTTGTCCCCAGGCGCCAGGAATGGTGCTACGCCTCTGAGATTCAGTGATAAAACTACACCAGGTTCATCCGCCAGCTCCCCGGCGGTTGAGTGGCCCAGAGCGGCCAATACCCACCTCGGGCGACACTAAGGTTTAGATGGGCTTCTATAAATGTTCACTAAGTAGAAAAATAAGCGCCCACCGGCCCTGGCAGTTGGCGACAGCGAGCGCCCCGGGCTCTACAGAGAGTGCCTCTTTAAAGAGCACCCTACAATAGGGACACGGTGGCACACGACATTTTATAATTAAACCGAATTAGGGGCGCCCCTGCGGAAATATAACCAGTGTCACCCTGGAGCGCCAAGGGACGCGTCTCTAACACATGGGCGGTCGCCAATGTGTGTTCTACCTCACTATTACAGAGGTTGATTAACGTACACTCAAGGCTTTCATACAGTGAGCCTTGGTGCGACTAGGCGGCAGTGTGGACAAACCCGCGCCCCAAAAACGAATATGTGGGTTTGTTTGTTTAAGCATTACCAAAGATTTCATTCGTTTGTCATTCGATTTGGTGGCGCCCTGGCAGGGTTCCATTTAGCTCCCCGGGTTTTTCCGTGAGTACTATAGTACCTTTGTTCGTTTTAATAATTGCGAAACGCTATGAATATGATGGGCTACTATAATCGCTCACTATACCGAGTGAGGCGCCTTCCTACCTAGGCCCACCTACCTACATACCTAACTCCCTGCCTACGTACCAACCTATCTACTAACCTGCCTGCGCTGCTGCCTGCCTACCTACTTTCCTACCTACTGTTATTCCTGCCAAACTGCTTTCCTTCCACCCCGCCTGTCTACCCACCTCACATCCTACTTACACACACACATATCTTCGTATGTATATATGTATGTGTTAGTGTGCTCTAGGACTATGTATTTTTACATTTTTTTTGTTACGTAGAACTATTCAGTATAAAAAAGTTTCCTTCTTTTTTTTTTTTTTTGACGTTGTAACTGCCGCTAAAATATTCTTTTTTGTATGTGTGCATAAAATAGTGTAGGTTCATTAACAAAAGTAAATTTAAGTATGTATTTAAGTGTATATAATCATTTTCGTAAAGCCAATGTGTTCATAATCTTAAATTTAAAAACCCTTGAAACTCGATAGCCAAAGATTTAGAATGAGAATAATTGCTATTTAACCAGAAACACCTATTCTAATTTCTGTAATAACATTTTTTTAAAATAAATATACACAAAGATAGATTGTTTTCTTATATAATTAATTTAAAAAGTCAACTGTATTTCATAACGAAAATTAACACAAAATACATTCGAATAGAAACTGTCAAGGGAGACTACTCTAATATTTGTAGGAATAATAGTTTTTATTTAGAGTTTTTTACTTTCTCACATATACGAAGTATAGAGAAAGTATTGTAATCGTGCACAAAAATCACTTGAAATTTTAACAATTTTCACCGTATTACACCTCAGTCCTTCATCACATCCGAAGTAGGGCCCTATAGAGGACTTATTTTAATCGGGCAAAAATTATCAATCCAGATTTATCAAAATCAAGAGGTTTTATGCGTAATCCAGTCTGAAAAACTGGGCTTTGCAATTCTGTCCGTATGTCTGTGTGTCTGTGTGTGTGTGTGTGTGTGTGTGTAAACACGATAACTTGAGTACCGTTACAGCTAGGTTGATGAAATTTCATATATAAGTATTTTATCAAAATCGTGGATCCGTATTATTTTGAGTGATTTCCGATAACCGGAAGTGGTACTTTTTCTACTTTGAATTTTTCAAAAGCCTATAACTTGTTTACTATTTCAGATAGATAAATGAAATTTCACATGTAAGTATAAGATCTAATTCTCTACCTTCTGGTAAATTTTGAGTAATTTCCGTTAACGGGAAGTACTAATTTACGCTACTTCCGATTTCTCAAAAAACTAATGTAAATTTTTAAAGAACTTATAATATTGCGCACTATTATGCACTTTTTAAATTTTGCGTTCACTTGGTGTGCAATTCTTTTGTCTACGAGATTTTATTCTATTTTTAAAACTTTAAGTATTTAAAATGGATTAAAAATCATGTCTATAGCCCGAGTTCCCATCCCCTGTTTTTTTATATAAGAATAAATGAGAAAGTTTAGGGGAGATCATTCCCGGTTTATTTATTATTAGAAGAACAGTTAATCATGTAGGTTCTATTAAAGATTACCTTGCATTTAAAAAAAAAGATATTCGATAGGTTTAGAATGAGAAATAGTCAAAATTATTTATTATATACATTAGTTGTTTTTTTTAATAATATAGTACAAAGACCTGTTTTAATTATTTTTTTTAAAATCTTATTTTAATTAATAAATTATAAATGA